CAACTTTGAGCTGAGTTATCGCTTGTCAAAGTTGCTTCATCTCATGAAAATCACAGTAAACATTATGCCGTTGATCTTCGGACAACCATAAAATACCTAGACTTAAGGAATCGCTTTGAAAATTTTAGTAGCTTTGAATCAAATGTAAAATTATATTTCTACCAATTTTCGCGCTTCCAAGATACTTAAAGATACACCCGTTTTATCAGTCCGTATTTCCTTAAATAGAGTACCACCCAAACCATCAACTTTGAGCTCAATTTTCTCAATTCCTGGAAAAGATATCAGTAATTTGTCAACTGATAAATTATTGATCATGATTTAGTAATTATTTTATCAGTTTTCACATTTTGGTTATCTCTTTCAGAAATTGAGATAATTTAGCTTAAAGTGAAAGCATACGGTGACTTTCTCTTGCAGTGTTTACGGTAACTTTTCTTATGAGTAAAATAAAAGAACTTGAATTTAATTTACGGATAATTTTCGAGAATCAGAAGACAATTTTAAAAACGAAGAGTCATAGTTTTTTGGGTTTTGTAATTTCTCTGTTTTCATGAAACATCAGAACAGACAAAACGATAAAAACAACATGGAAAATCGAAAAAATAGACACAGGTGAATGGTGGGTTTCTCTTCTTCGTGAGTTCGATTATCCAGTCTCAGTCTTGGAGAAAAACGAGTCGAGAGAGAAAAGAAAAAGAGGTATTATTGGTTGTAAATTTACACCGCATCTTTTCCCTTCTCTCTTTCCATCGCCACCCTATCATCATCATATCATCTGCTGAAGACTCCCAGTTGAAAAGGAGCAAAAGTAAATGGAACGAAATTTATATTTCGGAAGAGAAAAAGAAAAAGGATTTCAGGAAGATGGAAAAAGAGGAAAAAAAATAAACTTCAGAATTGAATTGTGTTTGATTGTGAAAGTTTTTTCTGAAATATTTTTGTTCCGTCTCTCTCTTTATAATTTGGTTAACTTTAACACCAGGCGATGTGTGATGCATTCGAGAGAGATAGAATGTTTACGGATAACAATGGATATTAGATTCGGGAAAGCTCTAATAGAGGGAGAGTGGATTTTCGAGTTCTGATTCAAATTTTTTGGGTTTTCGATTACAATATTGTAATCTATATACTTTCAGTATACACTTTCTGTGCCTATAAAGCGTAATTGTGGAATTTTCGTAGACTACAGTGAAATGTCGAATCAGGGATGTCCGCAATGACTTTTTCGAGACACGGAATCCGGAAAAATAAAATCTGGAAAGGAATAGATTTCTCTGTATCCGGAATCCGGATAAATAGAATTTTTATGGAATCCGGAACGGAACAGATCTCTCGAAATTCGGAATCCGGAATCCAAAATAATCGGTTTCGAATTTTTGCCAACTACAACATTGGAGATCTTCTTTCGTTTATTTTTTCCTACTTTTATGAAAAAAAAGCAGTCCACCCAAACTGTTAACTTTGAGCTCCATTATCTCGATTCATGTGATAAATATCAACAATTTGTCAATTGATAAATCACTTATCATGAAATCACCAATATTTTATTGGGTGACATTTTTTTGATATCTTTCACAAGAATTGAGAAAATTGAGCTCAAAGTTGACTGTTTCTTTGGACTTCTATTAGAATGAATATGGTATCAACGGTACTCCAACTCGAAACTTCAGAATAAAATAAAGAACAGGAAAATTGTAGTATATATATATGAATTCGTATATATTTGAATTGGACTAATCACAATATAAACTCTCAGAAAAAATGAACAATTCAAAATGATCAATTTCAATGAAATCCTTATCTAACTAAAACGAAACCTACTTCCTTCCGTAGTCAATTCATAGATCAGGTTTATACCTCCCATGAACGCCTACTAAAGTGTTCTTCGCTCTAAAAAACCACGTGTGTAACTCTTCTTTAAAATCAACGGAGCATGAACACTTTCCAGGTCAAAACTTCCAAAAAACCACTTCCTCATTCTGACGAAAAATCACGAAGAAATTCCTGAATGCACCCACCGGAAACTTGAAAATTCTGCTCTGATCTTGAGCGAACGAGAGAGACCAGAACCAAAAATCTTCCCAAAAAACCTACATATGCAAAAAGTAGAAGCAGAAAAAAAACGCAGTGTCTATATGTGACATGTATGTGTGTGGGAAAAATGGGGTGTGTTGTTTGATGGCTGCTCGGAAATATGTATAAGTTTTTTAGTGAGTGTTGGGAGATCCTCTGAACAAGAAAACCAGTAGTTTTGAGAAGAAGGGAAATGTGTGGGGAGAGTTTTTGAAAAAATAGAAGATGTGACTTCTATGAATTTGTGAAAGACATTTGAGGAGAAAAAGAAGACGACACTGTGAGACAATTGAACACTAAATATCCAATTTCTCTGGGAAGAAAAGGCGCTAATGGGTCGGTTGGTCTCAAAACGTCACAATGATCAAAATTCTGGAATCGTTCTGGATTCTTCAAAATTTTAATTTTATTAAAATATTTGGCACATATTGCCCAAACCGATATCTTCAATGTTTCTGAAATTTTAAAGCCTCTGACTATGTTATTTTTATTCCGCCTACTTTTTTTTTGGAAATCCGAAAAGTCAACTTTGAAGAGTCATAACATATCATATTTCAAATCAAGACCAACTGGGTCAAAAAATGAAATTCATCATGAGACAATTTCTGTTTATTTGGGGATAAAATAGTTTAGAGTTTTCCACAAACTCGTGGATGAGATGAAATATGAAATTTCCGTTTCGGTGACTTCGAATAAATAAATAAATCTGTGTCAATTTTGAGTTCATATATCTCGTTTCCTGTAAAAGATATCAAAAAGTGGTCAACTAACAAGATGGGTATTATAAAATCAAAACTATTTTGTCACTTGACCACTTTTTGATTTTTGCAGCTCGTAAAAAAGATAGCAGAAAAACAAGAAAATAAGTACAGAAAGAAAAATCATATTACGGTAGCTGTCGTTGTGGGACCTCCAGTCCCGGCCACCGGCATTTCTCTTCCACAATACCGAGTTCAACTCTTGTTACATTTGTTTTCGTATCGCTTGTCTGCTTCTTGTTCATTTCGGACATCCTATAGGATAACAGTTATCATTGTATCAGTGGCCACTTTGGTCACTTCTGTTGGCGTTTTTGGATATTTATCTCTTCTGGATATCACTTTGGATATTTCTATTTTTGCTCTGGATTCATCCATAGAAATATATAATTTTCCGTTTTCTTCCGTTGTCAGTAGTTTAAAAATTGGAACGTTCGTTCAATAAATGCATCCATTTCCTTTGTTGATATTCTCGCATTGATCTTACTTCCAATTGACTACTTATTATTTATTACCAACTCTCGCATATCAACAATAGATCATCACAACTGATAATTTGATCAATTTGTAAATAGGAACTTTTGAACTTCATGATAGCTTCTATTGGGACGAAATTCTGAATAAGAGCAAAAGTTCAGCAATTACGAAGAGAAAAAAATACCAGAAAGTAATTTGATCCGCACCAAGATCCTACAACAACATTATGAACTTGAAAAAATGAAGAATCTTTCGGTAATTCTCCAACTATTCTCGATTCGATTGAGAGGCTCCGATGATCAGAATAAGTCGTCAAAACGTTTGTTAATAATTGTGGATCTACAGTGCCGTCTTCTATCTTAATATGTGCGACGTTTGTGATGTTTGGCAGACTCCTTCACATTTCATTGATAGGAACAATTGGCTAGTTCATGTGAAATATTGAATTGATATGGTCTTGAAGAACCATCTGAATTTCCATTGGATCATTTGCAAATTCTATTCGGTGTACGAATCTTCCATCTTCCTCGCACCATAAATGGACACTGCAACATTGTAATTCTGGGTTACTGTATGAAATAACAATGCGAGGTACATCATCTTCTGGTTTCGAAGCTACATTACAGCTTTTAAGGTTGTATAAATTTGTTAATCTTTACTCTTCTTAAAATGCTAGAACTAAAAGCATAGAACTCACTTTGTAGCTGCTTTGTAAACAATTCCAAGCTTCACCGTTAAAACTTTTTTCAAATCCAATTTAGGAACATGTAACAATGATATTACTGGCAACCATATCGGTTCAAACAATCCATATTTGAATTCTCGTGGGTCAATTTCAAATCCAATCTTGAATTCGTTATATCCATGTCATTCCCCAAAGCGAAACGTCAACTTTGGAACCCTAATTCTAGCGTTTTCCACTAAAACTTTGGTGTGACGGGAGCATATACTTAGTAGAAATATTTCCTGGTAATCCAATAATTCAGACACAACCAGGACGCCCACTAAACGAGGCAGTTTTAGAAGATTGATGGGCATCCTGAAAATGATATGTTCATGAACAATCAAAGCTATAGGTTACAGGCCGGGTTGCGATCTACAAAAATAAAGCAAACAGGGCTCTATAGATTATGGCAATTATAATGGCAAAACAACTTTTTTTGTGTCATCTGCCAATTAAAATGAAAATTTAGTTTTCGATTGCAGATTATCGATTCCCGTAGGTCGATGAAAAAAGAGTGGACAAGGTTATGGACCATAGGATGTGTCCCATTCTGATCGGGTAATTCTCCGGTGGCGGAGCGGAGCTCCTGCGGGGACACATCATAAGAATAGGAGCCCATTTTGTGTCAATTTTTCAATATACCGTAAACACTGTAATATAACGCCATGACGTTCTATTTTTCAGAGGGGTGTTTTGGGATGATGGGAGATAACTGAAATCAGTTTTTTGCCTTATTAACGAAGTACCAAAGTGAAAAAAATAGTGAGGAATTTCTAGATTCTACTGCTACTCTGTTAATCGAGCATCAAAACTTTGTTCTTCTACCTCCAACGTTATGACCTATTAAGGGTGGCGTTGTATTAGAATGGGTCTTCTATTACAGGTGGCGTTATATTACAGTTTTTACGGTATACATTTGTCTGTTTCAAAAGAGTGAAGTTATCAGAACTGGAAAAGAAATCTTTTCAATCTTTATTCACAACTTCCACAGTTATTCGATCAGATGACATCATTGTTATTTCCATTTTTGATCTGGATTCATCCATAGAAATATAAATTTTTCCATTTTCTTCCGTTGTCAGTAATTTTGAATTGGAACGTTCAATAAATGGAACCATCTCATTTGTTGATATTCTTATATTGATTTTACTTCCAATTGGCTTTTTATTCTTCAACCAGCTCTCACATATTTTCAGTAAGTCATCACAACTGATAATCTGATCAATTTGTACACTGGAACTTTTGAATTTCAGAATAGCTTCAATTGGGAGTGCTTTCCTAGTTTGGATGCTCAAATTTCTAGCTGAGGTAATCTGGAAATCGTTTATTCTCTATTTAATATATCAATCTCATTCGAAACTTACCACATCTTCTGAAAAAATCATATTTTCTGCTCCATCCCATTTAACTTCTACAGTGTCAATTGGAAACGATCTCAAACAATGGAAGAAAGTTGTATAATCGAATCTTTCAGAACAAATTGACATAACCCATTTCAAATGATGAACTCTCAAAGGTTTACACTGTTCTAGACCATCCGGATAATCCTGAACTCCAATCATGCAAACATTTGTAATTTAAATATACAGACCAAAAGTTCCAAACGATGAATGGTGGTCCCTGGACGGTTCAAAAACATCTGAACTATTTTTCTATAAATATCATGCTTTGTTGAAGAAACTGTAGCAGTAAAATTATCAGTTTTGTCTCCACTGCTCAATTTCAGTACAGAATTTTCTAGAAAGGTCCATGAATAAACTCCGCCAACTCTCGGGTGGATTGTGAAACAATAATTTGCAATACGAACGAATTCGTAGTCTGATTGTATATCAATGCTTGATACTTCGATATCCTGAATGTCTCTGAAGCTTCTAAATGTTCGAAAGTTTTCAAAGCATGAGAACCAACCGTTGTTCGTTTGCAACATAAGAAAACAATGTTTTCAGACAGTTTTCATTCATAATAATGGATTTGAATAGAAGCCAAAGAATCTAGACAAATCGGCAAGGATTGAAATCCGCAAGAAACGAAAGCGCAAGAAACGGCAAGAAACGAATCGGCAAGAACGCTAAACCGAGACCGTACGAAAGCGCGAGAAACGCGGCGGCGAGAGAAACGAAATGGGGAGAAACGAAAGCGGGAGAAACGAAAGCGGGAGAAAGTTTGCATGCGCTATTAATTACGACGCTTTGCGGAACAACCGTATATTTCACTCGAATTGCAAACACAAAATCGGTTGAAAAATAAAATTTCCAGCATTAATTCGAAATAAAATGAAAGAAAAAAGTCAAGTTGTATTGTCTTGCTGTTCATGAGAAAAAAAATACGTTTTTCTTAAACCAACTCATGCCAATCACAATAGATTTGAAACACACATCTATAGTTGTCATTAATAACCCGATTATAGTTTTAAAAAATATACCAAATATGTTTAATTTGTCACTTTGAACAATATGTTCGTTGTTCATTTGTTCTATGCGAAATTCTAATTTTGGTTGTGACCTCTTTTACATCTAGAAACTGAAATCGATCTATAGCAAGAACCAAACTTATTTAGAACTGCTCAATGAATCTGAAATTAATAATCCTATTTCCGAACAGTTTTCTGTTGATAAAAAATGTTGTGAGTGAAAAAATTAGTTTCCGAATATGTTAAGAATATAGTAGCTTCTGTATGATTTCGGTTAAGGAACATCGGAACTTTCTACACTATATTCTTCAATTAAATGTTTCGAATGTCCTGAATGGTAGAATGTTTGGGATAGTCGATTCTGGCAGGATTCTGGAATAGTAAACTGCTTCTTTGTGCAGTCATCGAAAGACAATTCAACGAGTTACAGGAATACGTAAAATCGAGTTACAACTCACAAAATCAGCAGGCTTTAAATAGGTTTCACATACATAAGGAAATTTTTAAAACTTCAGCTATTTTTCAAATACGGTCTAAATATTTGGAAGCCTAAAGTTCCCAACTCCGTATCATCATTATGTTCATCACTCATTAAGTACTCATCATCATCATCACCATCATGTTACTTGTTCTTACCGAAAAATGATAATATGTGACCTGAATCATCAAACACCATTTTCCACAGGCTCAAAAATTGGAATTTCTTTCTTATTTCATGATGTCATTCATAAGATGAAAATGTGTTTTTTAAACCAATCCATGCATGCGAAAAAAAGTGTTTTCTGTGATTAAAAAACAATTCTTATATAACCAATCACAAATACCTCCCATGTATGTCTGCTCAGTATAAAAAAATTGTTAATTTAACAGTTTTGTATATAGAATATATTTTTTTTATATTGACATTTCTGCATGCAAAACTGGGTGTGAATCGAATTTGTTTCAAAGTTTCACCTGCTAAATTGAGTGAAATATACGGTTGTTCCGCGATGCGTCGTAATTTATAGCGCATGCAGACTTTCTCCCGCTTTCGTTTCTCCCGCTTTTGTTTCTCCCGCTTTCGTTTCTCCCCCTTTCGTTTCTCGCGCTTTCGTACGGTCTCGCTAAACCGTGCACAGTTTTGCTGAAACCGCGTGCGCAACCTCTTTCCTCCTTCTTTTTCCAGACCCTTTGCGCGTAGGCTACGGTGCGCAAGTACGCAAACACGGCATGCTGGCGGCAACGTTTGAATTTATAATTTATAGGTTTTCAGCTCGCTTTTAATTTGGAAAAATAGGCGTTTTTTGAAAATACTCCTAAATCTGGGTTATTTTCAACAAATATATGCCTAATTTTTCTTTTGTTTAAGATGAAGTCCTGTACATGTTGAAGTTAGGTGAATCGTTAGTGACGCGTGTCATGACACATTCTCTGCTGTTCCGTGATCTTTCTCAAGCTCTTCTATATGTACATCAGTGTGTTCTTTTCCAGCATGCCTCCACGAAGAATCAAAAAAGAGAAAGATGCAGAAGCCGCCAGAATCGCCGACGCGATTAACGAGCCTAGTGAGTTAATTTTTATAGCGCCTATTATCTTTCTTATATATAAAACGCTAGAGGCGTCTGTCTGTCCTCTTGAGGATCTGTCGACTTTTAAAAGGCTTGAAAAATAAATATAGATTTACGTGACCCTATGAGAAAAATGAAGGAGCAAAACACTTTGTCAAAATGCGCCGAAGGCGCACCAGCTTGCTGGTTCATACATATTCTATTTCCAGTGCAAATTGCCATCGAAGAGTTGAGAAAGAATCTTTTGAAGAACGCTAGAGAGACAGCTAGAGCAGAGACAGCGCGAATTCTCAGCCTCATCCCGAAGGAGTATCATGATATGCCAATAACCGAATTCCTTCTCTCACCGCCTGAAGGAATTTTCGATGGATTAAAAGCGGTGAAATTGGAAGAAATAGAAGAAGAACAACCACAGACGACGGAAGAAGACGGTCGAGATGATATGGAGGTTGATGATGCAGCACACGAGACCAGCATTCCGATTGCTCCATCAGGACAGAACTCGTAAGTTTCTTAAATCTGCTTCCTAGTTGTATCTCAAATTTGCAGTGGTAGAAACACAGCAGTCGATGCACATCGTAACGAAATAATAACTCCTGCTGGTGTCGCCTTCCCGTTGCCAGTTCTTCATCCGAACAAGCCATTCCGTCACGTGCAAGCTACCGACGAAATCGGATTCTCTTTGAATGGATCGCCATTGTTCTTGGCTAGCAACAAGAAGAAAACAACAAAAAAGTCGAAAGCGGAGGCGTGTCTTCTCGAGCCGAAGACTGGAAATCTCGGAACATCTGTCTAATTATCTATTAAAATTACTTCAATGCTTTATGTTTTGTATCAGGGGTATTCTCTGTAAATAACCTACTAGAAACAAGTTCCATCGTAGAACTTTTCAATAAACATTCGACCTCAAAAAATTTTTTGCTAGATTTCGCAATAATTCAGAATATCGTTTGTTTCTTCCAAAAAGTTCAGTTTCAATGTCACTTTGATTCTTTTTTGAATATATCTTATCAGTGGTGATTACTGTACGAACCGTCCGTATTATGGTTCTTGGTCATTTTGTTTGATGCCAATTGTTTGTTAGCGACGACAAAAATTAGTTGTTTGTCTTTGGGATAACTGTCTAGAGTAGAAAAAATTACTTCATTCTGTTATTCAGGGAAAAAATACATTTACGAAAATTCGAAAAAAATTTAGAATCCCTTGTCTTCGTGAGCTGCCAAATGCTTGCGAATCTCTGGAATACTGTCAACCTTGTCGTACCAGGCCTTGATTTCTGGGAATCCGTTCAGATACTCTGGCCACCATCCAATGAGACTTCTCATGTTGTCACAGATCATCAAATCAGCATAAGTCAGTCCACCGGAGAACAAGAATCCGCTGTTGCTGGATTTAAGGAACCTTCCGATGATCGCCAAAAACTTGTCTCTTGCTGGAATCAGCGTCTTTGTCTTCTCAGCTTCAGTGTTCGTTGGGATAACTCCCAATTTTCCGTAGTAGTACGGTTTGATTTCCGCATAGAAATCCTTGAATTGATCGACGAGAGCGTCGGCAAGTGCAGCTTCTTCTGGTGTCTTTCCAGCGTACCCGAATTTGTTGGCAAGATAACGAGCGATAGCCATCGATTGTGGGATTTGAAGTCCGGATGATTTCAACTCCAAAACAGGCATTTGTCCGAAAGGCATCTTTTCCTTTAGAGCTGGCCACTGATCATTCTCGATACGAACGTCCTCGAATTGTGTTCCAGAAAGGGCGAAAAGCTGAAAAGTTATATTTTGACAAAAGCAACAGAGAAAAAACCGTACCTGTCTGGAAACGTCTCCCAAACCACGTCCATTAAAATAGTAGAACTTGTATTCGGTCATTTCGTAGAGCAGACTCCAATAGATACTACGATTCCATCTTCTCCCTTTATACCAGCCAACCACGTGTCTCTGTCTCTTCTATCTTGCCATCTCTTATCGTTGAAAAGAAAGGTGGTCGAGAAGAAAACGTGGTGGGGGTCGGGGAAGGTTTATGAGATGAGAACCAAAAAGATACGAAAGAGAGAGGTCACATTAACTACCATCGTTGATGTTGTTCTCTTTTAATTCGAAGTTGTAATTGGATATCTTGATATGATTCAAGATCTGACAGAAAAGAAAATGATGACAATGGCATCGTGGTTTGTAGGAGACAACCAAAAGATCGAAATTCTGAAAGTTCTGAATCAAAGAGTCTACTGATTTGTCATTTTAGTTTTGCTACTTGAACAATTTTTCTTCCAGTCTTAGTCGACGGAGACTACAAGTTGATCGTAAAATTCGAATTTCTTGGGCACAAGTTCGCACTAGCATAACACTTAAGTGAAGCGTTGTACTGAGCTCAAATTTGGAGTACGAAAATTCAAATATCTCATCAGTAAACTGGCCAAGTTTCAAATTATTTGATCAACTTTGAGCTGAGTTATCTTTTTTCAAAGTTTCTTCATCTGATGAAATTCGCAACAGCAGTACACCGTCGATCTTTAGACGATTATAACAGTACCTAGACGTAAGGAATCGCTTTGAAAGTTTTAGTAGTTTTGAATCAAATCAAAAATTATACTTCTACCAATTTTTGTGCTTTCAAGATAAGATAATTATGTCTTTTGATATATCTTGTGCACCACACTGTACTATAATCGCTGAACAAAATTTATTAGAGAAAATTCACAAAATTTAGACAACCGAATCTGGTCTTTGTTCGTTGTGCTCCTTGATTTCCGGAATCGAATTGACCTTCTCTCGGAAATCCGTTAATTTCTTGTTTTCAGCAGAAGTCACATCGAAAACGCCCAACTTCTCCATAGTTGTGATAATGTCCGCAATCACGAGATCCGCCCAAGTGACACCATCACCAACGAGAAATCCTGACTTGCTCTTTTCCAAAATTCCATTCAAAATTTTAAAGAGATTGTCTCTGGCCGGTCCAAAAGTTTCCCTTTGAACTTTCTCAATTTCCTCCGCATTGCCTCCTCTTTGAGCCATAATGAGCTGGCGAAGAGGTGTGACAAAGTCTTTAAATTGATCAACCATCGCATCAACCCATGCTTCCTCTTCTGGAGTTTTTCCAGCGTAACCGAACTTTCTTCCGAGATATCTTAGAATTGCGGCAGACTGTGGAATGTCAAATCCATCCACATTTAAGACTGGAAGTTGGCCGAATGGTGTTTCTAAATTTTGCAGCGATTAGAAATTTCCCGAAGAAAATAAACTCACTTGGTTTCAGAGCTTCCCATTCAGGGGTTCCATTCTCAACACTCTTCAGGGGTTCCAATCTCACGTCTTCAAAGTCAACATGAGCAAGTTTGAAAAGCTGACGAGCGGGCTCAGCCCATCCACGAAGGTTGAAATAGGTCAATTTGTATTGAGGCATTTTGATAAAAGGAAGGATGAAAGGCAGCTAGACTTCAATAGTTTTATACTCCAAAGTTTTCGAAAATCTCCGAAATGTTTTGAAGCGAGACACAGAGAAAAAAAATAAATAGAGGTTTGGTGTTTCCTCTAGACAGGAGAGAAAGAAAAACGTTGTTTGTGCTTGCACACTGGAGTCAGAAAAATGACACAAAAAAGATTTATGATAGGATTCAAAATATACAATAAATCACAATAAATCATCTGGAATGCAATCAGACTTCTGTATCCATTCTTGTTGCAATATGATCTTCTAGATCTGGAGTACTGTAGATCTTCTCCACGTATTTTCTCAGTTTCTGATGATCCTCGTTATCATCATCCAAAGCTTTCAACTTTTCCAAACTGTGAAGATTATCAGCAACCACCAAATCTGCCCATGTCAATCCGTCACCAACCAAGTCCCTGATTTGTTATCTTTAAGAATCTTATTCAGAATTTCAAAGTACGCATCTCTGGATGGATTGAAAATCTCGTAACGTATTTTCAAAATGTCTTCTTGTGGCTTTCCAGCCCTCGCAGCAAAAATTAAAGTCTTGAATGCCACTGAAAAGTCTTTATACTGATCCACAATGGCATCTGCCCATGCTTCTTCTTCTGGATTCTTTCCGGCGTATCCGAACTTTCTGGCGAGATATCTACAAATTGCAGCCGACTGTGGAATATCAAAGCCATCCACATTTAAGACTGGAAGTTGTCCGAATGGGGTTTCTGAAACTTCCGTGTTTGTTAAAGGTTCTTTTGAATGAAAAGTATTCTCACTTTCTTTCAAATTCTCCCATGATTTCTCAGTATCGGCCATCGGAATTCTGACATCATCATATGGAGTGTGAGAAAGATGTAAGAGTTGTCGAGCGGGCTCAGCCCATCCACGAAGGTCAAAATATGTCAATTTGTATTGGGGCATCTCTGAAAGTGATTAGGATTTGAAAAAAATGGGAAGAGAGAGAGAGAGAGAGAGAGAGAGAGAGAGAGAGGAATGAGAATGTGAAAAAAAATATCCAGGCAATAGAAAACCAAGAAGGATCCACAAGAAAAATTGACATCAACGGTAGCAAGCCGTTTTTGAAGGGGGACTCCGACCGAACTTTCCATTCCATTAAACGGGTTTTATAACTATCCAGCCTTTGTGGCCTAGTTTTCTCACTGCGCGGGAATTCAAATACTCGTCCCTATTAGCCGCTTTTTCCCTTTCATTTTTCCGTTTTTCGGGGATTTCAGAAAAAAAATGTTTTCACAATTTTATTAGAAAAATTGACCTTTTTGACTATTTTAAGACAAAAAATTTTGGCCGGAGTCCCTCTTTAAACTGCTGAATAAAGTAACGAAGCGAGAAGAAATTTCTGGAGCGATTCATTGTAAACTTTGACTGAAAACTGGGTCTCTTTTTAAAACCCTCAAAAAACAACAAAGTCACGTTTATCTAGGTGAAAACAGAATATCGAAAAATGATGTTATTTGTATAGAGTCAAAACTCCGCCCCTTCGTTTCAACAGACTCTCGCGTTGTTTCGTTCTCCAAAATCACCAAAGATCAATTGTTGTTTACCTTGACTGTGGTCTCAAGGTGAGACTGCGAAGATGAAAAAGTGTTGATTATTTTATTGAGATAGAATAGAAATTTGTATTTTAAAAAATATGAAAAAACATTAGATTTGAGATTCTTTACGAGAAGCAAGATACTCCTTCAGTGATGGTTGATTGAAAACTTTCTTCTTGAGAGCTGCCAACTTTGGCTCTTTTGATTCGTCGAAGAATCCAAAGTTTTTGAGAGAAAGAAGATTTTCAGCAATCACAAGATCCGCAAAAGTGATTCCATCTCCAACGAGGAATCCAGACTTGTTCTTTTCCAAAATCTTGTTGAGTGCCTTGAAGTAAGTCTCCCGAGCTGGATTCACAACTTCCGAAGTGATCTTTTCGATTTCATCGGCAGATTTTCCTCCACGTTGAGCGATGATTAGTTGTCTGAACTGTCCGAAGAAGTCTTTGAATTGATCGACGATTGCGTCAACCCAGGCCTGTTCCTCTGGGGTCTTTCCAGCGAATCCAAACTTTTTGGCAAGGAAACGAGCGATGGCCATGGATTGAGGGATTTCAAATCCATCTACGTTCAAAACTGGCATTTGACCAAATGGGGTGGCTGAAAGAAACAAATTCAGTACCGGTCAACAAAACGTGTTTTTCAGTTGATTTTGACAATTTTCAGGAGTCTAGAGCTCGACTATCAAGTGTCCTATCACCTTGAAAATGTTAGAGGGTGTGAAATAGACCTAGATTGAAAATTTTGCATTCACAGAACTTTAAAAAAAAATTCCCGTTTTTCAGCTATTCGCCGATTTCTGAGAGACTCTTTTTTCACAGTTTCAGTACAAAAACCAGCAAAATATGAGTGTCTTTTAGAAATCGAAAATAAAAGGATTTTTTTTTTAAATTCTGCGAAAACTGAAGTTGTGAATCTAGTTCTGTTGTACATCCTCCAGGGGTTTTCAAAGTTCTTGGAAACTTAACAGATGAGGTCCAGACTGAAAATGGTCAAAATCAACAAAAATTACAATTTTTGTATATCTTATTGATCAGTATTGTATATTCCAATTTTTCCTAGTTGATGGACTCACAATTTTTCATCCTCTCCCAGGTTCCATCTCCAAAAACAATGCGGTTATCCTCGAATGGAACTCCAGCAAGATGGAAAAGAAGACGAGATGGTTCGGCGAGGCCACGAACATCGAAGTAGGTGAGTTTGTAGGAAGGCATATTCTGAAAAGGAATGGTATGCTATAGAGAAAAAGAGAGTCTATTTATATTGACCGAAAAAAAAACAATAATTGCAACAAGACCACAAATAATGGCTAGAGGCACGTTCATTTTATACTTTAGTTTCTCTCGTCTCCGTCTCTTCATCTCAAATGATCATTTCGGTTGGCTGGCTGGCTGAGTGGTCGAAACGAAGAGATGATGACTATTGGAGTATGAATTGTCATCATTGTACGGAAGGATACCTTTGGGGAAGGATATTCTGGATACTTTTGGGTTGAGATGGTGGACTAAAGTGATGTTTGGCAACGTGTTTGTGAGGAAATAATGATTTCGTTTCAATTGATCTATGGCGCAAACATCGTGGTTGAGAGACTCAACTTGAGACAAAAGAAGCAGAAAATCAGTTGGGTGCAAATATTAAATAATTGAATTTAGAGAATCATTGGTAACCAAGATCCTGAGGATTGGAATATAAAGATTTTCCAGAAGACAATAAATACAGAATTTAATCATTATTATACCTCGGACAATCTTGTGAGATCAGTAGGGGCAACTAAATTCCGTAAAACCTCTAATAGAAGACCTCCCCCAACTTTGAACTTTGAGCCACTTTATCTCGGTTCCTGTCGAAGATATTAAAAGTTTTCTATTGATAAATTGTTTGTCATAATATCACAAAAATGTTATCAATTGACACATTTTTGGTATCTTGCATAGGAATTGAGATAATTGAGCTCAAACTTGAGAGTGTGGGAGTCCTTCTCTTACAGGTTTTATGGTATCTCTTTTCGAATTTTCGATTGTAAATGAACTGTAGATCTAAAGCTTCACACTTCTCTGCAAAATGTAGCAAATAATACGAGAAACACGATACATAAAATCATATTTTCAGAAGAGTGAATAATTTTTGAGAATAAAGTCTTTTTTAATTTTTCAAAATTGTGACTGTTTTTTTTAGAAAAATAGAAAAAAAACTAGAAAACAATCATCAATGTGAAATATGAAACTGCAAACATGGTTGGAAATTCTTCAACTAATCCTTGAACAAATATAACTCTAATGATATAGACCGTAAAACCTCTAATAGAAAGGCCTCCACCCTGCCAAGTTTGATCTCAATTATCTCAACTCTCATGCAAGATATCAAACATGTGTCAACTAAAAAAATGCTTTTGATATTATGATAACATGTTTGTCAGTTGACAACTTTTCAATATCTTTGGTAGGAACCGAGAAAAATTGGCTCCAAGTTCAAAGTTAGGGGGCCCTTCTATTACAGGTTTAAGGTAAATTTGAGTAAGGAGATCTTCAGAAATATTCTTATTCAAATAATTTTCAGGTGTTATTCCAGAATTTATGATTTTTTTTTCTGTTGAAAAGTTGACCTATATTTTCAGACCATGATTTGATGTCTTTCACAGGAACATAGATAATTAGGCTCAAAGTGGACGGTTCGGGTTGACTTCTATTAGAGGAAATACTGTAGGTTCAGATCCTTTTTCGCTAGTTGAATCTTGAGTTCATTAAGAGCATACTCGACTTTCCTTATTCACGATTCTTAATAGTAAGCAATATGTTTTTCTAAAAACTACAAAAACACTTTTTAAACTACACTTCATCATCTGACACATTTTTTTTCAAGTATTGCAAAATGTATTACACCATCTCATTTTAGAGAGGATCTATCGGTTATCTTCTTCTTAACACTTCACACTTCTTCCAATTGATAAACACTTGTGATAAAACCCCAAGACAACAGAACACTCAACATTGGACAAAAAACAACAACAAACAGAGCTGATGGGAACAGAATCGATACAAACGGACCCTTCTTCTCTTATCTGATTCTTGTTTTTCTAGGTCACACTATCAGATCATCTAACTGATTGATCTTTTTTGGTTCTTGAATAAATCGTTTTTTGTGGTGCACACTCACACTCTTGATTTACACACTTTACGTTTACATTTCAACGCCTTTTCTTGTCTTAATCCGCTTAGAATTTGTGCACGTTCAACGCTTTTTAAGAGCCACCTGAACCATCTCTAGGACTCACTTTCAGCCGAGAAAAAAAAAATGCTCCGGCTCTCGATTCTATTAGTTGCCGCTGGATCATTTGTGTTTTGTGGTTACGACAAGGACTACAGAATTAAGACGAACCGGATATGGGAGGAAGTGGAAGAGAATACGGTAGGCTTTCTGCTTATTTCACCGTACACACTTTTTGAGCCCATTTATCTCATTTCCTGTGACAGATATCAAAATGTGATTAACAGATAAAATATTTATCATGATATCAACAATATTTTGTTAGTTGACCACTTTTTGATATTTTTTACAAGAAATGAGATACAGTACATGTCGATAAGATATACAAAATCGTAGTTCTCAGTTGAGTTTGCCCATTTTCCGAAGTCTGGAGCTCGGCTGTCAAGTGTCTGATCACTTCGAAAACTTTGGAGAAAGCCGCTGCCCGATTGCATACATAAAGGCGAGGACGACAGCTGTACGCAGAGTGACATTAAGCGTTGTACACCGTTACGGTAGAATGCATACTCTGGCCCCAAAAATCCCCCGTAAAATCTCCTGTCCCCCCACCTTTGAAATCCTAGTTTTTCGGTTATTTGCCGATTTCTGAAGGACACCCTTCTTTTCGCTACAAAACAGGAAAAAAGGAGTCCTTCAAAAATTGACAAATAGCTGAAAAACTAGGAATTTTCAAAAATTCTGTAGAAGCATAGAAATTTTTAATCTAGATTTGTTTTATAACTTCCCAAATTTTCAAAGGGATCGGACACATGACAGACGAGCTCCAGGCTCCTGATCAACTGAAAAACGTGTTTTTTAAATAACTTATTAACCGGTGTTGTATCTCATTTTCTGCAACAGATATCAAAAAGTGGTTAACTAACAAAATGTTTGTCATAGTATCACCACTATTTTGTCCGTTGGCCACTTTTTGATATCTTTCACAGAAAATGAGATACCGTAAAACCTCTAATAGAACGACACCCGGATCGTCCACTTTGAGCCTATATATCTCATTTACTGTAAAAGATATCAAAAAGTGGCTAACTAGTAAAATGTTGCTGATATCCTGATAAACATTTTACTAGTTAATCACTTTTTGATATCT